GTAGGCTGAGAAGTGCGTTCTGGCTTCTAGGTACGACATATATATATATATATATATATATATATATATATATATATATATATATATATATATATATATATATATATATATATATATATATATATATATATATATATGTATGTCATACCTAGTAGCCAGAACGCACTTCCCAGCCTACTGTGCAAGGCCCAATTTGCATAATAAGCCAAGTTTTCATGAATTAATTGTTTTTCGACTACCTAACCTAACCTAACTTTTTTTCGGCCACTTAACCTAACCTAACCTATAAAGATAGGTTAGGTTAGGTTAGGTAGGGTTGGTTAGGTTCGGTCATATATCTACGTTAATTTTAACTCCAATAAAAAAAATTGAACTCATACATAATGAAATGGGTTGCTTTATCATTTCATAAGAAAAAATTAGAGAAAATATATTAATTCATGAAAACTTGGCTTATTAGGCAAATCGGGCCTTGCATAGTAGGCTGAGAAGTGCGTTCTGGCTACTATAGGTACTATATATATATATATATATATATATATATATATATATATATATATATATATATATATATATATATATATATATATACATACATACAGGTGAACAGAGAAATTAGATGATAGAAAACGTGCCCAACCATTTCTACCCTTCTGGGATTCGAGCTCGGAACTCCCGATTGTGAGTCGAGAACAAACCCAACTACTACCGACTCAGAAACTAAAGAAGTTCCTTCCGACATCTTTGACTAATTTGTTTCTTCACTTTCCATATGTTGCCACGTTCAACTATTCTTTACCTTATATATATCTTTTCTATCTGCTTGATTAATTACTCTCAGTATCTTTTACACCGTTATCATATGTCTTATTCCTTCTTTGGTCCAGTGTAGTGAAGGACAAGGCTCACGAATGTCTAAATCACTAACGAGGTTTATTTCTTGCATAATTTTGTTTGTGATAAAGGACTTCAGAGCCATTGAGAGATTTGCCTTTTGATTAACTTATTGTAACACCAACTCTTTAGGTAAGCAAGATAGTAAGTCACAATAACGTGGCTGAAAATTTAGACAACCAGCCCACACATCTGAAAATAAAGTGCGGACGTTTCGGTCCGTTGTGGACAATTATCTCGACTTGTTAATGGTCCAGAACGGACCGAAACGTCCTCACATCTATTATTTCGGTGTGAGTGTTTGGTGTCTAGATAAGCACTTTTGCTTTTCCTGGAAGGCCAATTTCCTAAAATATATTTGGTTATAACTGTAAGAGCCAACTTAAGGTGTCAAACAAATGGCACTTGATGGCAACGATAGCATGTGAAATGCATGTTAAATTGGTCATTAAAAACTTATCTTGTGATACTTTAATGCTTATTCAGGTTTTTGAATATTCCTTAGAAATTATCACAATATCGAGGGAAATATTCTGAGAACTAAGCCGGAAGACTCATTATTAAGAGCAATAATTTTCTAAACTGCGGATGTTTAACGAAACGAGCAAGATACTTGACCCATCCTGCTGGGAAGTAAAGCAGAGGGCCAACAAGACACTAATCTCCCGCTGTCTGACACAGTTGCACCATCACCTACGTCTCTTCCGTATACCCGGGCCCTTGGGGAGGCGGGTTAACCCCTCTCACGACAAGATGGCCTCCGGCAAGCGCACTTACAACTAGGAGAATCGCCCAAATGAAGCATATTATGTTGGTGCAGCAGGAGGATGGGGGCTAGGGAGGGTTGGGATGAATTCTCTCCATTCTCTTCTGTTCGTTTTTGTTTCACGTCAAGACTTTGCACGTTTTCCTACTTGTTTTGTTTATTAATAATATTAGTTTTCAGCCTAAACAAAAACCTAGTATAGCGGCTGCATTTGCTAGAACATTCTAAAGCGGCCGAACGTTCTTGAACCTAGCGTAGTGCCGCACGTTCCAGAACCTTGCATAGCACCGCACGTTCTAGAACCTAGCATAGCGCCGCACGTTCTAGAGCCTTGCATAGCATCGCACGTTCTAGAACCTAGCATAGCGCCGCACGTTCTAGAGCCTTGCATAGCGCCGCACGTTCTAGAACCTAGCATAGCGCCGCACGTTCTAGAGCATTGCATAGCGCCGCACGTTCTAGAACCTATCATAGCTGCCGCACGTTCTAGAACCTAGCATAGCGCCGCACATTCTAGAACCTAGCATAGCGCCGCACGTTCTAGAACCTTGCATAGCACCGCACGTTCTAGAACCTAGCATAGCGCCGCACGTTCTAGAGCCTTGCATAGCGCCGCACGTTCTAGAACCTTGCATAACTACCACATGTTCCAACCCTAGCATGGTGACCATATGTGCTAGAACCTAGAATAGCAGCGCCAAATCTAGCATAGCTTTCGCATATAATTTATGATAATAATTCATTTTGTCGGGGGACAGGAAGCCAGAGTGTATTCATACACGTTTTGGCTTTTTGTCGATTTTGCCTAACGACAAGACGTCTTAGGATCTTGCCTTAACAACAAGACGTTGTAGGATCTTGCCTAACGACCAGACGTGCTTGGACCTAGCCTGAAGACCATAGTTGACATACTTGTGGAGAAATTTTACTTTACCTACAAGGGTGGGCAAAATGTATTGGCGCCTACAGGACGAGCAAAAGGTTTGTGTAACTCCTTACGAAAAGCTCGTGATTGCAGGAGCACTTCTTGTGCTCCTGCAATGACGACGTTAAAATGCTTGACGACGTTAGAGATTCACTCACCACAGTTGATGGGAATCGGGAGAGCGAATATGTCTGACGTCAAAAGCATTTTCTGACTACTGAACCACACAACATCGACTTTGGTACCAATCTCGCCCTGGGAGTGCAGAAACCATGGCTTCCGATTGTGTCTAGATGGTAGTTACATGACAACAAGTGAGAGAAAGAATAAACAACACTTAAAAGTATTTTCTAAAGTTAATAAGTGGCTTTCAAATACACTGCTTAAAGATATTAGAACACACACACACAGTGTGTGTGTGTGTGTGTGTTTGTTCTTTTTGCACACTACACTACACACACACTGTGTGTGTGTGTGTGTAGTGTGCGTTACCACCCTTGTAGGTAAAGTAAAATTTCTCCTCAAGTATGTCAACTATGGTCGCACGTGTAGTTAATGGAATGCATTAGGAAGTGATGTAGTGGAGGCTGACTCCATACACAGTTTCAAATGTAGATATGACAGCCCAGTAGGCTCAGGAATCTGTACACCGGTTGATTGACGGTTGAGAGGCAGGACCAAAGAGCCAAAGCTGAACCCCCGCAAGCACAAATAGGTGAGTACAGATAGGTGAGTACGCACACAGATGAGATGAGATGAAACTCAGATGAGTCACAGAGATGTTAGGAAGTTTTCTTTTAGTGTGAGAGTAGTGGAAAAATGGAATGCACTTAAAACTAATGAGGAGGTTGTGGAAGCAATCTATTCATAATTTTAAAACTAGATGTGATAGGGAAATGGGACAAGAGTCATTGCTGTAAACAACCGATGGCTAGAAATGCGGAATCCAAGAGTCAATGCTCGATCCTGCAGGCATAAATAGGTGAGTACACACCCACACAACTGTCCCGCCTCTCAACTGTTGATTGATGGTTGAGAGGCAGGACCAAAGAGCCAGAGCTCAACCCCCGCATGCACAACTAGGTGAGTACACACACACACACACACATACAGTGCCTGAGAAGTAAATAAATTGAATGTGTTAGGAAGTGATGTGGTTGAGGCAAGAGTCATTGCTGTAAACAACCGATGGCTAGAAATGCGGAATCCAAGAGTCAATGCTCGATCCTGCAGGCATAAATAGGTGAGTACACACCCACACAACTGTCCCGCCTCTCAACTGTTGATTGATGGTTGAGAGGCAGGACCAAAGAGCCAGAGCTCAACCCCCGCATGCACAACTAGGTGAGTACACACACACACACACACATACAGTGCCTGAGAAGTAAATAAATTGAATGTGTTAGGAAGTGATGTGGTTGAGGCTGACTCGATACACAGTTTCAAATGTCGATCTGATAAGAGCTCAATAAGCACAGGAATAACAGTTAAGAGGCAGGACCAAAGGGCCGAAGCTCAACCTCCACAATCACAACTAAGCGAGTACACACACACATGCATTATATATATATATATATATATATATATATATATATATATATATATATATATATATATATATATATATATATATATATATATATATATTCATACATTTATATACATGCATACACTCACACGTACACTGAATTTCTGATGACATGTTTACACGGAAGCAAGAGCCCAGAAACGCATACACTTCGTTACCCTCATCTCGTCGCCATGTTGACTAGACTCATGGGCGAGATGTCTCCCTTCAGCTCTCGTTTAATTACAAGATTAATAACTATCGATCTGTGTTAGAGATAATCAGTTAGTAGACGACAACACCAATCACACGATGTTGATTAATCGAATATTCTGTTTCACTGTAATAATTAACTCTGGAAGTCTTAGAGTGTAGCAGAGAGAGAGAGAGAGAGAGAGAATGTTGCCTCTCTTTCGTTCGAATCTGACAGAGAAATGAGCATGGAAAACTTACTGTAAAATGTCCTACACACACATTTTACTGACGAAAACTAGACTCAGTGAAATGCATTTCGACCTGATACAGCTAAATAATGTGTAGTTGGTGTTCGAGCTGGTGAAACAGGAACAAGAAATATAAAACAGAGGCAATGAAGAAGAAATCGATCAAGAGGAAGTGCGGCTAAGACATAGCGGGATGCTGTTGGAGACGATGGAAGATGTGTGAAATCGAGGCAAAAGAAACGAATTAAACCAAGTGGCGATGGAAGTGAGGCAAGGGAAGGTGGCACTCCGAGGCAACCAGAGTTGGTTGGGGAGCGCTTGCACGCAGGCTCGCTCACTCTCTCTCTCTCTGTCCCCTCTCCCCGACCCGCTCTCACCCAGCTCGGCCTCTCACATAGTTCAACCTCCAGTTGGCCCCGAGACACCGACACGGGAGGACTAAGTGCATCGTGGCGACGCGCTCCTCTCTCTCTCTCTCTCCTTCTCTCCCTCGAGTCACTTACCAGTGGCAGGCGCTGCAGCAGGTACTGGAGGGTTGTGGTGCCGGTTGGGCAGTGTACCCCGCTACGCACCTCCTTCTTTGTGCTTAACCAGAGAGGCTTTATGTGATTGTTAAGAGATTTTGTAAAAATAAAAAAATGTATATACAGACTGACTAAATAGTGTATTCTTGAAGAGTTTCTGGTGAAGTGTTAATTACGGTTTAGCGTGTGACAGCGGCTTACTCTTGGAACTCAGACCTCGAACTACATTTTCCCTGGATGGTGCGAGATATATTAATGTTCTTTTGCTATATTTTTCTCTCGGTAGTACTTCACTCTTAGTCAAATGTTAAGCATTTTACTAACTTATTTTGCAGAAAACTGTGTTCTGTAAAATGGTTTACAATAATATATCTCGCTACTATATTGAGTTCTTTTAAACAACATTTTTCAAGCATAAACACTGATAACCAACTGAGCTTGAATATATGTATTGAACATTTTAGAAATCAAATTCATTGTTGGTACACCATGATCGACAGTGTTGCCAAATATTAGTGACAACTGGAAGTGATTTTAGACACTTTTTGTTCGGGCACTGGAAGGATGGCACCGGTGCCTCCACTACCGCGTCTGGGGATGCTGCAGCTGCCTCTCTGGACTCTTCTGACTGTATGCTGCGTCCTGGCTCAAGGTAAGGAGCCGACTTGCATTATTGCTTCACCACCATCTCATAATTGCATCAAATGAGCATCATCACCATCTTCTCAATCCATCACCCTCTCATGATATCACCATCATAATCTAGTCATTATATTACACTCAACATCACTTAAGCATTGCATCACTATCATTTACATTACAGCCTTTTTTCTTACTGCATTGTTTGCCTTCTCTTCGGCAATTATGTTTCGGTAATGTATAAACCGTGAGCATTTGCGTTGGTATTTTATTTTCTTATCTATATTATCTTAACAATTTCTGGATTTTCTTGTCTTTTATTTTCTTTCAGCTTTCTTTATGTTGTCTATTTTTCTTTTTTTTTTTTTTTGCTGTATGGGTCATTTTTACCCATTTTTCTTTTTAATATTTTACATATATATAATTATTACTGAATGAATATTAAAGTTGTTCATTAAAATTGTTAGATTTCTTACAGGTTTAAAATACAAGCAGCTATTAATACACACAAATAAATGCATGCAAATACATATGCACGTGCACGCACACAGGAACACCTACACGCACGCACACACACACACACACACACACACACACACACACACACACACACACACACACACACACACACACACACACACACACACGTACGTACGTATACATGCACAAATACACGCTCGTAGACATGCTCGCTTGCGCGCACGCACACACACACACACACACACACACACACACACACACACACACACACACACACACACACACACACACACACACACACACACTTACACGCGCACACACACACAGTGGGTAAATTAGTGAGTAAATTGAATGACCTAAAGGAGCATGTTGTAGAGGCAAACTCCATTCATAACTTTAAAAACAGGTATGATTTGGAAATAGGTCAGGGGTCACTGCATTAGACAACCAGCGGCTAGAAAAGCTGGGTGCAAGAGCTAGAGCTAGATCCTGCAGGTAGATCTATATATATATATATATATATATATATATATATATATATATATATATATATATATATATATATATATATATATATATATATATATATATATATATATATATATATATATATATATATATATATATATATATATATAATACGCCATCTGGGCCGTCCCAGATGGGCTGTTTATTGTAGTGTTAATTGCCTAACCACTCGGATCAGACAGAACAGCAATGGTCTTGTTTCTTGCAGGTCAGCGTTCAATCCTCGACCGTCCACGAAGTTGAGCACCAGTTCTTTCCTCCGTTCTATTCTGAATCCTTATCCTCGTATCCCTTTCAAGTGCTATATAGTCGTACTGGTTTGGTGCTTTCTTCTCATAATTACTTCAGCTATAGTTTATATTTTTATATTCAGGGTCTTGTGTGTGTGCTGGGATGAAAGTATTTCATTGATTACCCCTTTCTGTGTTCTTCCAAATAGTCTTTCGGCTGTTCTTCCAAACTTCCCTTTAAAAGGTTATTAGATGCATAGGAGGAGGTAATGATGTCCAACAAAACAATCTTGGAGGTTACTATATATGATTGGAAAATTAGCATGTTTCAACTGGGAGACATCTTGTGGAAGCTTGAAGACTTTCTGTCAAAGAGGTGAAAGGAGAAGAAAGGATTCATTTGATATCAGTGAAAGCATATATTTTCTTGGAACCCCCTTTATTTCACATAAATACATTCTCTGTACTCGACAAGTGTTCAGGGAGAACCTGCAAGGTTTTCTCTGAATTTCTTTTTATTCTCTTTTCCGTCGCTATGGGTCTCCACAGTTGCACCAGAGGTGGTACCATCAACCCATACAAAGGCACACATTCGTTAGATTTCCGAGTACCTTTTGGTTATTTTTTTTATATCATGTTTAATAAACTGGATATATTTATAAGTAAGTAATAGTTTGCTATTTTTATTAACGAAGATAAATATACACAAACGTGTCTATAAACGAAAATAATTGAAATGAAAATACTTCTTTAGAGTAATGAGGTGGGATCGAACTTGCATCCCTGGACTCCATACACACGCAAGTTCTGTCCTACCACCTTGCCTTAATATATTATTTTATCTATAAATAACGTAATTTGATTTCATAGATATGTCAGTAGCTCTTGAAAGCAGCTTACGCTCTCTGTATGTGGGGCCGACAGTTCTTTGAGGCAGACTAGAGGAGTTGGGTAGTGCAGGTCATAGCGGAGGAGCGTAATGTGGCTTTCATGGTTCTTTCCTGGAATAAGAGATATTACGGCACATTCATAGGAATTTATGCACAATTTAGCCGGCGAGTCGGGAGATATATCTTTATACTTGCTCAGCTTTCTCATATGTGGCTGCAAGATTTTAAGGTGTATTTATTAATTCTTTCCTGTGATAGAGAGAGAAGGACAATTATTTTTCGCTTTTTATGCTTCACTTGTTTAATCATGGTTATAGTTAATAATATACCGATCAAAGCTGAATGGCACTTCAAATTATTTGTTTGCTAGAAAGGTAAGAAAAGATTTAATTTTGCAGGAAATACGCCAAATATGACGATCAAACGTTTTACAGCCGGCGGTGTGTGTCCGGTGTGTTTATAAATAAAAGATTGATGGAAAACTAGCTTCGCTAAGCTCCCTCAGATATTTGTGTTTGGAGTGTTGTATGTGCTTATTTAATAGGAACTTTTGTGTGTTGTGTGAACGTGAGTATGCTCGAGTCTGCCTACTCCTTAGTGAGAGTGTGTGTGTGTGGGGGGGGGGGGATATGTGCGCGCGCGCCTGCCTGCCTGCCTGCCTGCCTGCCTGCCTGCCTGCCTGTGTGAGAGTATGTTTCATTCTGCTAAAAGTTGATTCTCGACATTTTGTTACTTATGTATACAATATTTGTTACTTGTTTATATAATCTATGTCTTAAGAAGCGCGAGTGAATTAAATGTAATAAATATAATCAAATTAAAGAAACTCTTCAATAAATAATTTTGAAATATACTTCTCTTTAATATTTTCACTTGGGTACTCTTGAAAGCTGAATATTAATTATGCAAATGTTTGAATACCTAATATATTCCAATGTGAGTTACGCTTGCTAATTGAATGTTAATGATTTATTACTCATAAAAATAAATCTATCAACGTAGTTTTCTTGTTTATTGTTAACAACTATAAATATTTTAACATAATTATATGAAGCAGTTGGAGAAGTGTGTGTAAAGATCGCCTGTTAAGCCACCTGAAACTTCTTTGTAAATTTGAATTTTTAATCGTAATTTCTGTTTTTTTTTCCCAATGTTTTCCCATCTCTCGGGCTCGAATTTCATCTGCCTTTCAAGGATACATTTCGTTCGTATCCTTAGACGGATTTCGCCAGTTTCCCTGTGATCAAATTTCAACTATTTATTTGGAACGAAAATCGAGTGTTCCTTGGATATGGATTTCATTTTTTTTGAGTGAGGGGGGGGGGGGGTGGATTTAGACCATTTCCCGGGCATTGGTTTCAAAATTGTCTTGGAGCGTCGATTTCAGCCATTTCCTGGGTTCGGATTTCTAATTTTTTGGGGGGGAGGGGTGTGGCACTGATTATGACTGTTTCCCCAGTTAATAATTTCGATTATTTGCTGCAATTTATACTCTTGGTTGAGTTTTGACTGTTGTTATATATACAGTATGCGTTCTGCTTGGATTTTTGTCATTTATATAGTGTCATTGATTTCTAAATAGGATCTTTGGCGAGTCCTGTCTGTTTAATTCCAATTAAAAATGACAATTATAATAAAAGTAATTCATGAAGTAAACACATTCACTCGTAGACTAGATCGCCTTCTATTATCCAGTTCCGTGGGGCCTTTGTACAGGCCTCCAAATACGTCCGCACACGCAGACATGCGCACAAAGGAACACACACACACACACACACACACACACACACACACACACACACACACACACACACACACACACACACACACACACACACACACACACTATTGTGTCCCATACTATTCCTCATTTATGTAAATGACTTGACTGCAGGAGTCGAGTCTTTTTATGTCAATGTTTACAGATGATGCAAAACTAATGAGGAGGATTGAGACATATGAGGATTTTAAGGTTCTCCAAGATGGCTTAAACAGGTTGCAAAGATGGTCCGAGAAATGGCTGTTAAGAGTTCAACTCTAATAAGTGCAAGGTGATGGAAATGAAGCCAGGAGACCGAAAGGCCAATATACGATGAAAGGAAACTACCTCACTATTACGTCAAGAGAAAAAGACCTGGGAGTGAACATAACACCAAACCTGACTCCAGAGGCTCATGTAAATAGAAAAACGCCAGGCGCATACTCTGCTCTGGCGAAAGTCAGAACATCCTTCAGAAACTTGAATAAAGAGGCTTTTAGATCATTGTATACCTCCTATGTGAGGTCAGTCTTAGAGTATGTCGCCCCATCGTGAAGCCCCCATCTTAAAAAACACATAAGGAAGCTCGAAGAGGTGCAGAAGTTTGCAAGGAGACACTGCGAGGGATGAGGTACAAAGACAGACTGAACGAACTAAACCTGACGACGTTAGAAAGGAGGAGAGAGAGGGGGGGACATAATACAGTCGTACAAAGTACTTAGAGGGATTGACAAGGTGGAAACAGAGGACATGTTTACAATGAATAACAATATAACAAGGGGGCACGGATGAAGGCTTGAGACTCAGATGTGTCATAGAGTTGTAAGAAAGTTTTCTTTTAGCGTAAGGGTTGTGAGTAAATGGAATGATCTAAAGGAGCAAAATGTAGAGGCTAACTCCATTCATAACTTTAAAATGCAGGTATGATAGAGAAAGAGGTCAGGAGTTATTGCATTAGACAGCCAACGGCTAGAAAAGTGGGGTCCAAAAGCTAGAGCTCGACCCCTGCAGGCACAAATACGTGAGTACACACACGCACACACACACACACACACACACACACACACACACACACACACACACACACACACACACACACACACACACACACACACACACACACACA